CAAGACAGCTTTGACCACAGCTCCAGTGTTGGTTTTTCCATCAGCTTCAGGTTCATACACCGTATATTGTGATGCTTCGAGAGTTGGGATTGGTTGTGTATTGATGTAGGAGGGTAGAGTGATTGCTTATGCTTCTCTTCAGTTGAAACCCCATGAGAAGAACTACCCTATTCATGATTTGGAGTTGGCTGCCATAGTTCATGCATTGAAAATTTGGAGGCACTTTTTGTATGGCGTATCTTGTGAAGTATTCACGGATCATCGTAGTCTTCAGCATTTGTTCAAGCAGAAGAATCTTAATTTGGGGCAGCGGAGATGCCTAGAGTTACTTAAGGATTATGATATTACTATTCTGTATCATCCGGGAAAGGCCAATGTAGTGGCCGATGCTTTGAGCCGAAAGACAGTAAGTATGGGGAGTTTGGCATACATTCTGGTTGGGGAGAGACCCTTTGCAATTGATGTTCAGGCTTTGGCCAATCGATTTGTGAGACTAGATATTTCGGAGCCCCGTCGGATGTTGGCTTGCGTGGTTTCTCGGTCTTCCTTATATGATCACATCAGAGAGCGCCAATATGATGATCCGCACTTGCTTGTCCTTAAGGACAGAGTTCAGCATGATGATACCAGAGATGTGACCATCGGTGATGATGGTGTGTTGCGGATGTAGGGCCGGATTTGTGTGCCCAATATGGATGGGCTTAGAGAATTGATTCTGGAGGAGGCCCACGACTCGCGGTATTCTATTCATCCGGGTGCCGCAAAGATGTATCAAGATTTGAGGCAGCACTATTGGTGGAGAAGAATGAAGAAAGATATTGTGAGATTTGTAGCTCGGTGTCTCAATTGTCAACAGGTGAAATATGAGCATCAGAGACCGGGTGGCTTACTTCAGCAGATGGTTATTCCCGAGTGGAAGTGGGAGATGATCACTATGGACTTTGTTGTTGGACTTCCATGGACTTCGAATAAATTTGATGTTATTTGGGTGATTGTGGATCGGCTGACCAAGTCCGCGCACTTCATTCCTGTATGTACTACCTATTCTTCAGAGCGGTAAGCAGGGATTTATATCTGGAAGATTGTTCGGTTGCATGGTGTTCCAGTTTCCATCATCTCAGATAGAGGTACTCAGTTTACTTCACAGTTTTGGAGAGTCGTTCAAAGAGAGTTGGGTACTCAAGTGGAGTTGAGCACAACGTTTCATCCTCAGGCGGATGGACAGTCCGAGCGTACTATTCAGATATTGGAGGACATGTTTGGTGCTTGTGTCATCGATTTTGGAGGTTCATGGGATGAGTTTTTGCCGCTTGCAGAGTTTGCCTACAACAACAGCTACCAGTCGAGTATTCAGATGGCTCCGTATGAGGCTTTGTATGGGAGGTGGTGTAGATCTCCAGTTGGTTGGTTCGAGCCCGGCGAGGCTAGGCTATTGGGGACAGATTTGGTTCAGGATGCCTTAGAGAAGGTGAAGGTGATTCAGGAAAGGCTTCGTACAGCACAGTCGCGCCAGAAGATTTATGCAAACCGAAAGGTTCGAGATGTATCCTACATGGTTGGTGAGAAGGTCTTGCTGAAGGTTTTGCCCATGAAGGGTGTTATGAGATTTGGAAAGAACGGAAAGTTGAGTCCACGATTTATTGGACCTTTTGAGGTACTTAGGAGGATTGGGGAGGTGGCTTATATGCTTGCTTTGCCACCCATATTGTCGAGTGTGCATCCGGTATTTCATGTTTCTATGCTTCGGAAGTATGTTGGGGACCCGTCCCATGTTTTGGATTTCAGCACGGTTCAGTTGGATGATGATTTGACCTATGATGTTGAGCCAGTGGCTATTTTGGGTCGTCAGGTTCGGAAATTGAGGTCAAAGGATATATCTTTGGTAAAAGTGCAGTGGACAGGTCGGCCCGTGGAGGAAGCTATCTAGGAGACCGAGCGGGAGATGCGGAGCAGATATCCTCACATGTTTGAGGCTTCAGGTATGTTTCTTGACTCGCTCGAGGACGAGCGTTTGTTTAAGTTGGGGAGGATGTGACGATCTGGCCTGTCGTCTCATGAGTTACCACCCCGTTTTCCCCATTTTCTGTTTCTTCATGCTTCGTTATCCGTATCTTGTGTGATCGAGTTGATTTGGAGTGGTTTTGGTAGGAAATGAGACACTTAGTCTCTTTTAAGAAGGCTTAAGTTTGAAAAGTCAACCGGATGTTGACTTATGAGTTAGAGGGCTCGGATGTGAATTCTGATGGTTCAGTTAGCTCCGGGAGGTGATTTGTGACTTAGGAGTGTGATCGAAAGTGATTTTGGAGGTCCGGTGTAGAATTTGGCTTGAATTGGCGAAGTTAATATTTTGGCGATTTCCGGTTGATAGGCGAGATTTTGATCCGGGAGTCGGAATGGAATTTCGAGAGTTGTTGTAGCTTCGTTAGGTGATTTCGGATATGTGTGCAAAATTTCAGGTCATTCGGACGTGGTTTGGTTGGATTTTTTATCGAATGCGTGTTTTGGAAGTTTTAGAAGAACTTAGGCTTGAATTCGATGTAATTTGATGGTTTTGGTGTTAATTGAAGTGTTTTGATGATTGGAACAAGTTTGGATGATGTTTTAGGATGTGTTGGTGCTTTTGGTTGAGGTCCCAGTGGCCTCGGGTGAGTTTCGAGTGGTTAAACGGACTATTTCATCTTTGGAAAAGTTGCAGATTTTTGTTTAGCTTCAGTTGTGCACCAGAAAATTTCTGGTGCGAGGAGTACAGTTTGGAAGCTCATATCTTGAAATATATAAGGAATCAGAAAAAGTGCAAAACATGAAAGTTGTATCCCTTGCATTCTCGTTTCCATAAAGTTAAACCATTCATGATTTGGATATTCTATCAGAAAGTTATGATGAATCGAATATGGCTGGTGGATCAGTTTTGACAGAATTTTCTGATGCACTTTAGAAGCTCATATCTCGGAATATATAAAGAGTTATATGGTGTACAACCTATCAAATAAAATATCTTCGAGTCTAGTTTTTAAATATTCAAACCGTTTGTCATTTGGATATTTCCACAAGGAGTTATAGGCGTTTTAACAGAAGGTGTACAGCAGGGAAAATGGTAAGAGGATGTACAACCTGCACAGCGCAAGGTACACCTCGATGAAGCCCGGGCAGAATGTTTTTAAGTCCTCTTGTCCGCGATTTGGGTCCATTTTTCAGCCGTAGTTGATCATTTTGAGAGTTTTTTGAAGGAGATTGAAGAGGGATTCAAGGAGAAACATTTGGAGGTAAGAATTTCGGACCTAAAACTCATTTATATTGTGAAATACACCTAGAAAATCATTGAATTCTTGCTAAAAATGGAAGAAATAGGGCTTGGGATTTTGAAATTTTGATTGGGGATTTAGAGGACCATTTGGTGCCGTATTTGAGAACTTTTGTTATGTATGAACTCGTGGGGAGATAAGGAACCCGTTGATGTAAAAATTTCTGAATTTCTAGAAGTGGGCCCGGGGCTCGGGTTTTGCCAATTTTGAGAATTTTGATATTTTTCGATTGTTTTCGATTGGGTATTGTTTCTTTAGCATAATGTGACATGTTCGTTGTGATTTTGGTCAGATTCAACGCGCGAGAAGGCCAATTTGAGAGGCAAGGGCACAACGAGCTAGAGCTTTGACCAGTTTGAGGTGAGTAATGATTTTAAATGATGTCTTGAGGGTTTGAAACCCCGAATTTTGCACAACGTAGTTCTATACTACTGGGGATGAGCGTGGGGTTCATTACTACTGGGGATTGTGACTTGGTCCTCCCAATTGATATTTTCACTACATTTTGACTGAGACTTATGCATTGTCATCCTGACTTGGGCTAGTTGCCATGTTTGGGGCCTTGTGCCGACCTATAGAACCCTTAGGGGATTTTTGACTGGTTTTCCTCACTTATTTGCTAAAAATCATATCCTTTGTTTCTAATTGTTGAAAAATGATATGAACCGGGTTATGAAATGTTAACCATAAATGAGAGAAATATGTGGGCTGAGATNGTTTCATTCAATTTTCTTTACCACTTGCTCTTTAAATGGTTTTACTACTTTGATATAGAACTGCTTAGTACCTTTACGTGATTTTATACCGTCAGCCATTATTTATTGTTATTACTCACTGGGTCGGAGTACTCACATTACTCCCTGCACCGTGTATGCAGGTACAGGTGTCCCTGAGGTGTAGAGCGAGCTTTCCTGCTGTTCAGTTTTTCATCGGAATTATCGAGGTAGCTGCATGGCGTCTGCAGACCCGATTTCTCCCTCTATCTTTCTTTACTATTCCGCATTTTGGACATATTTCTGCATTAGGCTGTTGAAACCTTGTATTAGAGGCTCAGACTTGTGACACCAGATCATTGGGCATTTGTAGAGATTTCATTATGGCCTTCCACATATTTCAATCTTTTATTTCAGACTTCTACTTATATTAAATTGGTATCTATTTCTGAAAATTGGTAATGAATTCTAATAAGAAAGGATTGTGAGTGGTAATTGGTCGGGCTTGCCTAGCATCGTGTTGGGCGCATCATGATCGGGATTGGGGTCGTGACATATTCTATGGAATATTCCCCTAAAATATATTACTACTAAACTAGCCGTTAGGACCGATCTGAGTATTCGACCTCGATCCCAGTTACTCAGCTCGCCAATAGGTTCTTTCTATCTTGAGCACGACCTCAGCCTAATCAGCTCTTAGCAATCATCTATTGGCAAGATTCCCTTTGGTTAGGTTTTGACTCATACACTACTACAACAACAACAACAACAACCCAGTATAATCCCACAAGGGGGTTCTGTCTTGATTGTAAATATTTTTTCTCTGGTATATATAAAAGTTTAATTACCAAAAAAAATGAAAATCAAAATGGAAAATTTGATAATTTGGTGTATATATTTAGTAAAAATTGACATAATAGATTTACTTTTATTTTAAGTGAAAACGAAAATTAAACGCAAATTAAAGGTGAACGCCCCTGTAGCTGGTAGATGGTAAACTGATATTCCATCATTTCTTATTCTCCGGCCAATTATCCCAGTACTAATTCATAAAATCCGGGTAATTGCCTCCGCCACAGCCAACGGCATGTGCGGCCGCGATCCCATTTAAAGCAATCGAGATCGTAGCCGACACGTTCGTCGTTTAGCAAACCTTTTCACGACTATTTAGAACTCCACTCTCCGTAAATAGCCGCTTGTCAATTTTTCTGTAGTGAAAACCAAATTATCAGATCAATGGGGACCAACGGTAATTCAAGTCCTAATAATACCGCTACTCACAATGCCATTGTCAAACCCGTGCTATTACCGGAGATTGGACCCGATGGCATTGCCAGAGAATCACCTGTCATTGCTTACACTGAAAAGGTATTTCTCTTATTTCTCTGATTTTACTTGTACAAAATATGTTATTAATTTTGGGAATTTTACTGTATGCATTGTTTGATTCTCGCGTTGGTGGATACAGATAATTGAAGAAGAACAACTTCAATTGAGAAAGTAAGTTGACTTGTCACTTTTTTCTAATATTTTTGGATCTTATCAAACTTTCAACTCTCGTTATTTGCTTCTGCCCCACTTCACTGGTTATTTGTGTCAAATTTATTTAAGTATCTGCCTCTAGGTCTATATCTTTGGATACTAGTCAATCAATCAATATACTACTTAATCTCAAATTGATCGGAGTCTGATGATAGTAGTTCTGGTCTATTCATTAGATACTGGTAAATAAAGCGTTTTAGCAGAAAATGGTGTGACTTACGGTCAGTGAAGCTAAAATGAAGATCACAGTTCAAATGCCAGTGAAGACCAAAAAGTTAGATGATTTCTTCCCATCTGTCTCAGCTTTGATGGGCAGAAAATACCTTCATGTGATGTAATTGCCGAGGATGTGCATAAGTTGGTCTGCCATTATTTAAAAAAGAAAAAGAAAAGAAAAGCTAGTCAATCAATCAATCTACTACCCTTGAACTAGTAGGGATTCATGATATGATTTCTTTGTATACTCTGCTCTTTTCGGACTTATTTCATTCTAATACTGGATTTTCGGATATTAGTACAATGTAAAAAGTTTTTAAGAATGGATGGTTAATGAAGCAAACTATGCTCTCACTTTGGAGGAGTACACTGTAAGAGATTGTGCAGGGAACATAAAACTTGAATTTGATGAAAGGAGTATGGGTAAGTAAACTGGGAGAAAATAGCGAGCGAATTGGCCCGACACCATGTTATCCAAAATTCAAATTGGGACAAAATAAGGTAATTTAGCTTACAAGGATATAGTAATGAATTCTGATGACCAGCATACTTCACAGAGTTCGATTGGGCAATTTTATACACAGTTAGGGAAAAGAGTCTTGGGATAAATTCACAAATAAAACGTCTATTTTGTGTAGTTTCAAATAGTGTATATGGTGGTTGTTATTTTGACAGAAACTATTTAAACAAATCACTATATTGAGGTTTATCTGCAAAAAAAATAACGTGATATGCAGACCAATTATCAAGGAAAAAGTAGACTTTTTCTTTCAGAAAGCTTTAATTTTGGAATATCTAAAAGTTGATTTACCAAATATATAAATTAGAGATCTTTCAAATAAAATTGAAGTTCGGAAAAAAGTTTAGTCATTCATTTCTCTATATGAAAACATTATATTGGAGCTATGTTGCACAGACTCTCCAAAATGCTTCCGCACCCGTGTCGGATCCTCCAAAAATACACTACTTTTGGAGGATCCGACACGCACCCGGCAAAATTTTCGGATAGTCCGAGCAACACAGTATTGGAGAGATTTCATCAAGGGAAATTTATTCCATGCATAGGGTACTCTTTTTCATCTTGTAGATCTTTGTTTCGTAAATTTTTGGATGTATTACCAATGTCGAGTTCATGTCCTAGTTCCTTTTTCCGATAACGGCGATATTTGGGCTAGCCTGCCCGCACCTTGCCTACATGTTCGTAGATTCTTTTACCTGGTGAACACATTGTCAGAGATGATTGATTTGGAGTTGAATGTTTTAATGGAGGCCTAGTTCTACAGAAGAAATGGAGGTGTAAAGTGTAATATTGACTTGTATTTAGGCTGACTCCTGCATCAGACTGCTTTCCACATCAGATGGTCTTTCCAAGTTTTACATGCATAATAATTTCTGGTATTCTGCTATATCTTTCCAGATATATTGATGAAAATTATTCCAAGATCCGTGATGTTGAAAGGGAACTCACGAACCTGAATATGGAGATGAAGCTTACTGCTGGGCCAAAAAAAGCAGGTTTGTGACTTATAATGCTACATCTTTGAGCACCATTACCTTTTGATACATTGTTGATTTAAGTGCTTCCTGTGCACCTTCAGCACTTGAACTCATGAGAAAGAAAATAGAAATGTCAACAGAGAGAATCCGTGTTGCTAAGCTGAGGGAAGAGCAAGCACGAAAGGTTTGTCTAACCTCCCTTTCTGTGTTTTTATCTCAACGGATAGAACAGACTCCAATTCTGACTTTTCTACCATTAAGAGAAGTTAAGCATCTCATTGTCGCAGCACTTGTCTTGCAGTAACATTCCTTTTCGTTTTTCCATATATCTCTTCCTTGGATATGTGATATCCGTATGTGCCACTAAGAAATTGTTAAAAGATACTGGTACCTCATGGATCTTGCTTTAGATAGGTGAGCTTATTTGGTTTGGAATGTTCATGATGTCTGGTTGAAAAGACAGAAGAGGGAAGGGAGGATGTCATCCACCATATAAAAAGAAAAAGAAAAAGAAAAAGAAAAAGAAAAAGAAAAGGGCAATACAAGAGTGTTACATTTTTTATTTTGACACAAAGGAAAAAAAAATAGTAAAAGTTGTATTTTTTGTCCTTGACACCCCTCAATATTCATGAACTGTTAATTAAAAGTGCCTTCTGGATTAGGAAATCTTTGCGAAATCTGAGTTCTTTTTTTACCTTTTCCTGAAATGTCTGGGATGAGGCAAAAATGGTGCTTTGGCATGTCAAATTGTTTTAATTCCGAGAATCGCAGATCAAATCAAAGGAAACCCTAGACGAGAAGTCAGAAAGAGAGAGAGAGAAGAGAGAAAGTGAAAAGTTGTATTAAAAAGGTCTCAAACCTTCCATACAAACCTCAATAACGGTACTTATATTAACAATGAATAGACAATAACAATAACTGGAAAAAAAATACATCACCCTGATAAAAATAAACAATTGGACCAAGTCTGCTACATCCATAAGAAACTCAGGTCAGGCCTTCTTCATGTTGGGCATGGACACCAGCTCTAAGACCCCCTCCTTTAAGCTTGTGGAACCATCCAACTTGCATAATAATCGGTGGTGAGGATTTGTGAACAAGTGATACTGAGATTACAATGTAGGGATTTTAGTATGGGGATTAAATAATGACGAGATTATTTAGTGGATATACTCTTATTGGCAGATGTTTAAAAATGGGATATACAGGTATAATACAAGATATGTATTTGGTTTAAACTAGATAAACTTGGATAAACATTTATTTTCAACTTTAACCTTGGGTTTCTTAAAAGACTTTGAAGGAAAAGCTTTGGAGAAGAGCAAATGTGTCATTTTGTTGTTTATCTTGGGATTAGTAATCCCGAGATTGATATACCACATAGAGTGTGATATAAAACTAATACCACAATTGTAGTATAAACATTCCTAGGATTGCTAATCCCGAAATTAAAAATCTCACCAAACATGGGATAAAATATTACCACATTTCATCCCTGGATTATAATTCCTTATCCTTGTAACCAAACAACCCCCTAGGGCTCGTTTGGTACGAGGATTAAGGGATAATTAATTCCGGGATTAAATTTGAGATGAGATTAATTCCGGGATTAAATTTGAGATGAGTTTATCCCACGTTTGGTTGGGGTAAAATCGCGGTATCACTAATCTCGGGGTTAGTTATCCCAGAATTGTAGTGTTATTTTTAGCCCCTATGGGAGGTTGAGATAACAATCTCGGGATAACTAATTTCGGGATAATTAATCCTGGGATAACTTGTTTCCCAACCAAACGACCCTTTAGTGATCACATCAGCTAGTTGTGGATCATAAGGAACAAAAGGTAGAGATATGACCCAAGAATTGTGCATGTCCCCAACAAATTGACAGTTACCGATATGTTTAATGTGCTCATGAAAACAGGGTTCCTGGGAATATGCAAAGCAGCTTGACTATCACAAAATTTAGTAACAGCCTTAGAAATAGGCAAGCCAAGATCACCCACAATTCTTCAACCAAGCAATTTTGGTAACCATACTCCTCAAGGCTCTATACTCGGTCTCAGCCCAGTGTTATTAAAAGCCATTGTTTCGTTGCTGAAAGCGATGAAACGGCACGAAGCAGAGGGTCATGGCTTAAGTGATGTGCTTTAGAGAAGTGTAAACTTAAAACAACATGCTGTTAGTTCTTTAAAATCTCAACTTTGAGAAATTGGACTAATATCAGCATTATTGTAAACTGGATGCTGAAATTAGCTTTTTAATTACAAATTGATTATTAGGGTGCTAAATTCATATATATTTGCTATTTTTAGTATTCGGTAAATTGTACGTTTCACTTTGAAAAAGCATGCTATTCACTTCACGCTTTTCGCTTTACGATGCGTGGATCTTGTCGCTCTTTTGCACTTATGCTATTGACAGTGGATTTCTTCTTAGGCTTTCAAGAGATAGGGAAAACATATAGTGTAATGAAGTACCCGTAACAGACCTCTGGGAGATAGGGCATGCAGCCCGATTAGGATCAAAATATGCTTTTAAAGAAAAATTTGTAAAAACAGCAGAATCCCTTGAGCTGGATCTTTCAAGAGATACCTCAGAATATGAGCCACCATAGATTGAAAAATGATTAAGGTGCTGGACTGAGAGAGATACCAGGTCTAGTTTGCTGTAGAAAATTCAGCCTCCTAACATGTATTCCGTACAAAGAAAGGTGAAGATGAGGCTCGTCTTCGTCAACTCACACTTTAATAGAAGAATCCAAAGAAGTCACAACATGGGCCACCCTAGAACAATTAAACTTATAAAGAAGATCCTGGCCATATTTGTCTTAATCCACAACATAGCTTTGAGGAAGTTTAGTTACTTCAAGACCAAGAAAGTGATGAAATACACCTAGATCATTGATCTTGAACTGTTCATCCAAGAAGGATTTAAATGTCAGCATTCCATTATCAATCACCAACCAGAAATATGTCAACAACATACACTGCTAATACCATAGTAGAAGATTGTGACACCTTGGTGAGCAATGAGAATCATTTTTGCTAGAAGAATAGCCCCTGAATAGGATAACTCCGAGAGTTTGGCAATTTAACCCATAGAGAGACCTTTTATACAAACCAATATAGTGGCAGAAGGAAGAGAAACAGTGAGACCAGGGCAGATCTTCATATAAACCTTCTCATGAAGGTCTCCCCAAGGAAAACATTATTAGCATCCAACTGATAGACATTCCAGCTTTTCTTAACAGCAAGAATGAGCAGGCACTAAATGGCTGTGATGACAACTGGGGAGAAAGTTTTAGTATCTGCTATACCTTCCTGCTGAGAATCACCTCTAATAATCAGTCTAGCCTTATATCTCTCGGTGAAGCCATTAGATCTTTGTTTGATTTTGGTGACCACTTGCAAGGAATAGTTCTCTTGCCAGGCGGAAGAAGAACATGCCCCAGGGCTGATTTGCATTCAGATCTTGGAATTCCTCTAGTATTGCTTCTTGCCAAGTAGGATAAGAAGCAGCTTTTTGGTAAAGCTTGGATCTTAGCAGAGAAAACCTTGCAGGTTTTAGCTTGTGGAGCAGGAGGAGTGATGGAAGAACACCCAATAGTCTTGGAGGTAGCTAGGGGGATTAGAAGTCCTTGTGTATTTCCTAAGGAAAGGAGAAAAGTGAGGAGGATATGAAAGGAATGAAGGAGTAAATGAAGGAAAGGAATTAAAAAGCTGATGATCCACAAATTTTTAGGATGAGTAGGAAATGTAGAGGCAGGGAAGAGTAATGATAGGTGAAACACATGTTCATGGAATATGATATCTCTGGATTACATAATAGAGTAACTAGACAACCCTAGTGTTATCTCCATCATTCTTCTATCTTCAGACACCATCTGTCACGTTAAAACAAAAACTGTTTTCAGCACTTCCAATGACCACCTAACCTCTCCTGTTCCCGCAGTTCAAATCTTTTTGTGTCAGCTACTATTTCTCCAATATACTAGCTTAGCACTAAATCACGTTTTAGCTGGTTTAGGTCCATTGCTATTCAGTTCTTGTGCGCCGAAAGTCATTGTCTTGTGAAAAGGTTGGAGGCATCTCTATTTGATGGTGTAAAGAGAATCTTTTGTCTTCTCTTTGACTTTCATACTCCAATGTTTCATTCCTCCTTGAATTAGGAAGCATCGACTTCATTCTTAGCAGTGTGAACAAGAAGTTGATAGTAACTTTTAGGAGTATATACTGAGTCATGCCCAAGTAAATCAGATTAAAACAAATGGATGAACTTTACAAGGATCATTCTGTCACTTTTTACGGGGATGCAGTGGCTTCCGATCGCACCATGTCCTTATATTAGTTTCTATATCAGTCTAGTCTTGTAATGTGGTTTTGCTCCTACAATATGATTTCAACAATCAGAAGAAAAGATGGAAGAAATTTAAAAAAAAAAGCGCTCTAAAGCGAGACAGCGAACAATAAAATTACTTAGTTGTCCTTCTTAGAAAATTGTAATGGAGTGTCCATTGCTTATGTGGTTTACTTATAATAAATCTGATAATGACTTCTAGGCTTGGGAAGCAGCATCACAGGCTGTTAAAGACGAGGAGGCGAATAAACAAAAGCTTTGTGAGGATTTGAATAGCCTGGTACTTTTTCTTCTGTACTATTACCTTTGCATTTTTAGATTGTGTGAATATTTCTCAAATGAGATTCTCTTTATAGGTTCTGGAAAGTAGTAACAGTCAGCTTGCTAGATTGGAGGAATTGAAAAGACGGCTGGAAGCTATGAATCCAAGTAGAGCATCCACGGCCTCCACCCCTGTAAGAATTCTTTCATATCTTTGTGTATTTTATGTGTATTTTGGAATTCGATTAGTTTCCAGTATGTTTGTGCATGTTTTATCCATTTCTTTTTCTAGATGTGGACAACACTTGTTAGCAGTGTGATAACTCTTTTTTATGCTGCTAGAAATTCCTTATCTGTGCATGGAAGAGTGGGGTACACATATTGTTGTTAAGTTTCTGTCTTCAAAGTAGTTTATGTCTTTGACCAATTCTAATATCTAGCATAACAAGTTGTGTTATGCAGTAACCAACTGGCTGATTCATTATAAGACTCCTTATAGAATTATCGTGCAAAACCATAGTATGATGAGAAACAATTGGGACATGGACCACGTTATTTGGTTATCTCAGCTTTAACTTTTACAGTTACAGTAACTTTGGCGGATATGGATAGAATACGTGACATGATTCTGCTGGCAGCACAGAAATAACCCTGTTTCCTTTTAATTTGCGGAATATTTTGGAATTCTAGTTAGTTCAACGTTTCTTTCCTTCTTTCTCCTCCTGTCCTTTGTTGTCACCTGTAATGAACCCAAATTGTATTGACCAGAAAATAGAGTTGCATATCTTAAACCAAACTCTCAAAGTAACGAACAACAACCAAATGAACAACTAAAAAGAAGAAAAAGGAAAAGAAGAATGGAGGGAGGTTCAAGATCATCCTCTAGAGAAACTAAGGAAATACAGTAAACCAATTTCTTGCATAGCACTAAGGGGCCGTATGGTTACAAGATTGGGGGGGTTATCCCAGTATAAAATTTGGGATTAAATTTGTCCAGTGTTTGGTTGTGGGTATTAGGTAAACCAGGATGGAATTTATATCAAAATCATGGAATTATCTGTCCCATATAGAAGGCGAGATTATCTATCCTGGTTACAATTCCATGATTATAATCCTGGGATAACTTGGTTTTGAATGAAAATAGATTGTTCTTCTTGTATATGTAGGCACATCTTTACATAGTGCACATGCTCCTTCTAGCCAGGGTCCTAAATGTAATATGCCAATTTCCCATACATGTCCTCTCATAGGTAAGTTATGTTCACAACATCATCATTCATTTATTAATGTTGACCCTCAGCACTGCAATGCTGGCAGCCATGGAATTCTATCTTTTGGTTTCTAAGACTGCGTTATTGCCTCAGCCAATTTTATCCTCGAAAGGACCATGTTTTCCCACCTTTTCAGCCACATATACCACTCATTTGCTTGTAGATTTGCTATCCCACTTGTAAGGTTGACATCAACTATTCTATTCTCTACTAGCATCGGTGTAAGATGGTTTTATTTTAGAACATCAGCAATGTTACTCTTGGTTTTAGTTTAGAGCCTGAATGATATTATTCTCTAACATTCTATGCCCTAACAGATGTTTAAGATTGCTGAGCACCTTGCCGAACTACTTGGGCTTAAAGAATGTCCCGAATTGCCCGCTTTGGCCAATCCTCTTATCCATTTTTTTATAAGCGGATTCGCTTATCCGTTTCTCAGAAATCACCTTTTTCCCCTTGCTTCTCTATGTTGGGTATTTTGGTCTCACATCTTGTGTTTGCAAAGATGAAGCAAACCATCTCTCTGGGTGAAAAGATAGCTATTTCCATATGAGTGAGCAAAATATATGCCAGACAGAATATTACAACATGTGCCAAAACTAAAAATTGAAAGGATTTTTCTTTGATTGAATTTTTTAGCTGTCACGTACCCTTACTTTATCCAAAAAAAGCCATCACAGATATGAATTGGAGAGTTTCTTGTATTTCTCTTTTTTCTACATTTGGATCTTATTTGGAACGATATGGATAACATGGCACACTGCAGTTATATAATGCTTGCTTTTGTTTCGTAATTAAGATGACTTTCTACTAAAATGCCCGTGGCCTTTTCCCATATGTGGTCTCAGGATCAAAATCCTGTGGGACCTGTACAAAGCAGTATGACTCAAGATGTTTCCTCAGTTAAGGATACACAAGAACCGTCAAGCGGATCATCTGGAAATACATCGAAAGAAGGAAATGATAGAAGCAGTGGAGCAGAAAATGGACAAAACCAATTGCCTTCTCTTGGTGAAGCAAGAGGTAAGAAGAAAATCAACCTCCAAGGAAGAGTAAAGGGAATTGGCATAGTGCCTAAAGGTAGGGGTTCAACAGCACCTGGTTGGACTGGAGCTGGGTTTGATGTGGATGGTAGAAGTTGATAGCAGGTTTTCTCAATGTTTAAGTTCATTGGAATAAGAGACTTGTTGATTTTTAATGAGGTAGATAGTCCACTCCAAGCTATTAAAATTCTTTACTCTCTTCTATTATTCCATGTATGTGAAATATCATTTGTGAAATTCAAATGACTTGTGAATACATTGAAATATATAGTTCCTGAATCTTTCTCGTGTAAATTGATTTTAGTTTTTGTCAACCTAGTTCAGCAGTGTACTTTATATGTCCTCCAAATTGTTTCAAGAGAGAGAGAACCCAAGGAGTGTATGTTGTAATGATACGACTTGCTGCTGTTTTAAAGAGGTGGAGGGGAAGGAAGGAGGAATTTATTTCTGAAGAATTATGCACCTTGCGCTTGCTTGGGGATAATCTTGTTTGGTTAGTGTGAGAGAGATGCTGCCTTTTAGTTATAAGAGGTATCACTCACACTTAGGGTGATAATTGTCCTTTCACTTGGATTTGAAATGCGCTTAATTAACTGCTATATGTCTAAGTCTAGTATTTGAAGTGCTTTAGAAGTTATATAATGTAGCCTGCAGTTATTTTAGGTACATTTATGACGCAGGATATCATGTGAACGTAATGCAAGGCGAGTCTGGGATTTACATGTCGACAATACTAATTCTATTTTATACTCTCACAGAAAGAATACATTTGTAGTCAAATATGTAAATTTCTCTGTTGTATGTAATATATAGGAGTTTGAATCCAATAGAGCATATGCACGTATGCGATCTGCTAAAACATAGAGAGATGGTGGTAAAATAGTTCTGTTGTAACTTGTAACTCATGATTGTGTTTCTATTACAAAGCATCATCAATTAACCTCTTCCTTTTTATTTTCTTCCTCTTCGTTTTAGTTTCTGGTTTTATTTAACAGAGTTTTTACTTTAGATTAACTTTTACTCACATATTCAGCAAAAAGATTATGAGACATGCATGTAATAGAACTGTGTAGGGGTTGAAGACTCATCAAATACTTGGTTATGTTTCTCCATGAAATATTAACACATTTTTTGTGGAAGACGGTTTTCAAGATGAATAAGATAAGCTCTTAGGCATTACCATCGTTCATGATTATTATATGTATTTATATAGTTTTATGTTGCTGGACATTTCCTCTACCTATATTTCAGATTTAACGGCAGAGAAACTGCTTGTAGTGGTGGCAATGAAGGCTGTAAAGGTATCTTAGCACCAGGAAAGACTAGATTTTTATTAGACGATAGTTAGATAGAGCCTTTAGATGTTAGTAATTATTAAAGCAATTCCTTTATGTAAGAGGAAAAAGAATATCTGGATGGATTGTGGACTTCTTAAGCATCATTGGACGAACTTTTGCTCAACACAAAGAAAGTAGTTAGGCCTTGTTTTGAGTTGATTTTGATGTGTATTTACTATGTAAGATTATTGTTGAGTTTTCGTCGGAGCAGATAATTGCATCATTAGGCTCAATTACTCGTTAGTAGATACCTCCTCTTTTATGATTTTTCCTGCATCTGTCCTCTTTTTTTCCCTTAAATGTTTGCTCTGGTAATCAAGTGTAGTCATTTAAATTGTGTTGTCTTATTTATCTCGTCAGTTTGGTCGCTGTATATTTGAATTTCTAGTAAATGTTTCTCAATCGACTATGCACATACTTTAAAAATGATTGTGGGAGAATCATTATTTTCTCAGTCAATGATCTTGCAGCAGGTGAACATTGGAAATTGTTGCATTCTCAGACGTTTACTACTGAGTATAAAATTGCTGACATTGTGTAGCCTGATTTGGAAACTTATAACGCGAGTAAACTGATGACTCTGGTCTGATTATCTTAAATTATAGCAAGTCCATTGCTACCTTTTGGGACCATAGGAAATGCATTTTAGTTATGACTCTACTGCGATGCATAATGATTATGTCTGAGGTAGCTTTGCAGTCTAACAAGTTATTGACTCCAGTTTGATGTGACAATTAGCATTAAAGTTGGGCATGAAGACTGAACAGTAACAAAATAATTGCAATTTGCCAGAGGTCTACTGTTGCATGCCTTTGACTGCAGTTCTTGGAGTCTTGGTAGGGACCATTTCATATCATTAGTTTACTCGTTTTCAATTTTGATTGTCAAATGAATCTTTACACAACAAGTGGAATTATTTTATGTGAAGTTTTGAACTAATTAGTGGAGTATTAGTTCAAGGGTTTAAGCTTCCTAATATATTTCTACAGAACCTGAACAATTCGCTGTTAAATCTGGTTCTTATAGTCTGTTTGGCTAAGTTTCTCCAATCCTAGAAGCACTTATTTTTTCAAAAAAGTGTTTTTTCAAAGTTGAAGTGTTTGGTCAAGTTTTTGGAAGATAACAAAGTGCTTTTGAGGAGAAGCATAAAAAGTTTTGGAGAAACAGAAAAAAGTAGCTCCTCTCCAAAAGCACTTTTTTGAAAAGCACTTTTGAGAAAAATATACTTAGAAACAGTTTTTAAAAGCTTAGCCAAATACTAATTGCTACTCAGAAGTGCTTTTCAAATTAAATAGCCAAAAACAAATTGATTCTCACCCAAAGTACTTTTGAAAAAAGCACTTTTGAGAAAAAACACTTCTCAAAATAAGTTGATTTTTGCAGCTGGCCAAAAATGCTATTAAGCTCCCCCTAAATTAATGGCAAAAAGTATGCTCTTTTCATGCGGTTGTCAAGAATGTCTCATTCTCTGTGAATTGTTGGTGTAGTTCTAAAATTTCCGTTTGTTAACTACTACTATATCTTTGTACATAAGATATAGAGAATAAATAGTTAAAAGACAAAGAACAAATATTGGAGATTGTGGGAGCAAACGATATGACTATTTATTCCAAAAGATAAGCGAGAGTTTTGAAATTGTATAATATAGTTGGAGGGAGGAATTGAAAAAGGGGCTAAATATGATTGGCTCTGAGTTGCTGATAGATGAAAGGTGATGCTTTTAGGTGCTAACGTTATTTTAATCTAAAAACTGGCGAACTAATACATGAAATACCCGGGATATTTAACTTGTTATTGCTTACTATTATTTACTTTATTTCTATTTAAAATAAACTTACTATAAACAGTTATCTCTGTTGCAGATCTTATTGAACTGATAGTGGGAACACAGTAAATACTGTTAGCGCATAAAAATTAAACTCCATCGCAAACCTGTTTCCATATTACCTTACGAATTTCTTTGTATTGGTGAGAGATGACTTGATTTGGGTACGAACAGGAAGATTAGCTATATTTCTAATTCTAGTGTGGAAATTCGAATTCATCCAATCGATCTTTAAAACAGCATTTACCAAAGCAATGCTGTTGCGTAGAAGTCAATTCATGAAGCATACATTAATAGACGCTATCGCCATCAGCAGCAACAGTGAATGACTCTGTTGCCCAATGTGGTAGCTGCCACTGCCCCATTCCTCATGTTTTTTTGCTCTACGACAGTTCCATTCCTCTGTAAATCTATTGAAATCAGTACAATTTTTTTCAACTCTTTGTCCAATAAGTAATATCCAAACCACTTCAGTTCAAGTGATGCTAAAGCTATAGACGAAGATATGGAAACTCACTGATGACAGTTCGTGCTATGATCCGACAAGTCTTTTATTAATCTGTATCAGTACATTTTACTAGTGTGTTATTATTAGACATCATAATTTTTTTTAACTCTTGGCCATGTGCTCAGTATTAATGCCATTAGGAGCATTTGAATTGTCCACTTAGTACTCATTTGGTTTAGCGGGGTTGGGGGAGATCTAATCTTCCGATCCTCTTAACGCAAATTTTGAATAAACAGTAGTTTAATGAGGAATAATGACACCTGCCAGTGATGTGGGTATTTAATCATGTTTGGTGACTGACATGGTCGCAACACCCAAAGGTGATAATGCATCCCACTCTTTGACACGTAAAATACTTGCTTGCTTGACCCCAGGATATCACTTCTTACTTGCACAAGCTTTTGCTTTTATTAAAATTCTAGTCTTATGATATGCGGCTCGCGCAAAGCGCTTTGCGCGTATATAATATCTCAATAATTTTTTTAAATAAATAATACATTAAATATTATGTTTGAGTTATAAAATGAAAGTTAATATTCCCTAAAAATGATGAATCTTCATAAAAGTTCTCAATCATCGGTCAATACATTCAACTTAAAATTTATTTCAGTTTTATGATTCAATCACTTTAAATTCATAAGTTATCGTGCTTCTTTTTCAATTTCAGCAATCACATATAATCCTTGAAAACTTAAGAATTTTTCTGATTTTTTTTTTTTTTGAAAAGTTACTCAAATAGGATTAAGAAATTGATAAAAAAAATAATATATTATTTTTCAAGAGTAAATTTATAGAATCATTACTATTATTATTATTATTATTATTATTATTATTATTATTATTATTATTATTATTATTATTATTATTATTATTATTATTATTATTAACTTTCACCAATACCTTTTCTTTCTCTTTCTCTCGTTATATTCTTAATTTTATTAGTTATTTCTTCTAATTATTGAGTATATTTTTAAAATTATTATACAAAAAAATGATAACTGATAATATATTATTTGAATAAAAAGTATATATAGAGAGAGAGTGTTCACATCCAAGATAATATTAAATGAATTATAGTTATATTCCATGATCAATTTAAACAATCCTAGAAAATATTATTTGAAAAGATTTTTAAAGCCTAAAACTAGTGATAGAACAAATTAGGATAGTATTCATTATTTTTTTATTTTTTTTTTGATAAACAACTTTTCTATTTCATTCCATCAAAAGAATATACATTACATTCAGTAGATGTCGACCATCTACTCATCATTTGTTATAAACTCTAGTCCGAAGTTCCTTCTTAAGCTAGGACTATACATGACAATCCAGTACTCCAATGCTATTACACAAGAAACCAGTAAAAGACTCTAGCATACTAAGGGTAGCAGTTTATCTTCTGCAGAGCTTCTTTCCAGTTTTGTATTGAGACCCCTTTCAGGTGTATGTGGATAGCTATTTCTTTGCAGATGTTGTTGATTATCAGTTTACCTCCTTGGAATCTTAGCTTATTTCTTTCTCTCCATATAGCATTCACCGGCATGCCAAATACACAGGTAATTATTGCACATTGTCCATTTCTGCTTTTAGCATTCTTGCTTACCCATTCGACTTCACTCTGTCAGTCATAAATAGTCTCTATAAACGTGTGTTGCACGATATTTACCATCAATCATATTAAAAAGCTAATTAATATTGTTTTTAATTATATTATATCTATTTTATGAGGTATGAAAAAGTTATTAGGGTCCTATCCTCTTAATACTTCTTAATTTAAAAAAAAAAGTTCTAAATATACATTCCCTTTGTTGCTGCTACCCTTGTGGAAAAAAATAGGTTATGACTAAAATAATTGAATATTAGGAACTAAGGCCGTGATCGTATGTTGTGTTATTGTTATTAATTGTAACTATAAAAGTATTAGAAGGATATTAATAATTTTTTCGGCGTAAGAAGTCAAACTATTGTGCGAACGCGTTTGGTTGCACGTTATTTCATCGATGTTTACACAAATTATAGGAGATAAGAAGTTTCACTCATCAAAGGGTGAGACTTTACAATTTTCCTAGTAGTCATGTGAAATTTTCTTATGAGTTTGAGCTCCTAGGTGTCTTTAAATCGAGTGTAATGAAGGGATTCTCTCTAACGCATATATTAAATAGTTATTTATGGATCACCAATTTTTCAGGGAAAGTTATGTGATTTTCTGAGTCAGAATTTTAACAGAGGACTTGTGATGAGATTTGAACTAATGCACATGCAGTGTTAGGTGGAAGTGAAACTATGGGTAAATTTACTTATGCACCTATACGGTGTAAGATAGGAATTTAGGGGTGGCAAGGGGGCGGGGCGGGTTGAGTCATAACCCAAATTTCAACCCGCAACGCCTACCACGCTTCGCGCCTGCGGCGTTTTCGCCAGACGGTCTTTGCCGGTAGTGCCATCCTCCCCGCTGATTGTATGAGCGGGTTGTCCCTCGCTGCTGCGTTCTTTTAAGCTATGGATTAAAAGAATCCATTCCAGACTATTTACATTATTTATGATCTTCTTACAGCCATCACGCTATTCTATAATTAAAGATCTGAGCCCCGGTCGGTGACAGCGGCTGATTGCCTTGCACCGCATAATATTTTTCTGATTTTTCAAACTGCCCCGCCCCGCAATCGCGCCACTTTTTTGTTGTAGTGAATTTGTAGATCTAAAAAAACTAAATCAAGATTTAATATTATTGCAGTGAATAAAAAGATTCAGAACATAAATTGCAATGAAAAAAAAAAAAGAGAAGTCATGGA